AAAAAAATTGTTTGTTGATTAGAAGGAATGGAGGGTCTTAGTCAATTTGTATGACAAAATCAATATATAGACTTTTTTTTTTAACCCCCAATACCCCCATCTACGTCTGTTATACAAGTAACTCCCTCCGTTACTTTGGAAAGATAGAGATCGATTGAGTGCAACAAAAGTGAAAGGTAATTAGTAATCGAGAACATAAAAAAGTAAAACAACTCTACGAGTTTGGGGACAAACCGTGTTCAATTTCCATTGGGTTGAAATTAACAAATATTAACTTAATTGTTTGTTTTAATTGAATATGAAATCACAACTTACTCAGCCCTTTTTCGGTACAGAATTTTTAAAATTATTTTTTTTTTCTCAAACTTATTTTCTACACATTTTTTTAATAAAATTATTTTACACATTTTTACACTGGTATAAAGTTATTTATTAGTCATTGAACTTTAATTTGTGTAACTACTTGCTAACTGAACTTTAAAACATAACTCATTGCCACTCAAGTATCATAAACGTAACTCATCCATCACTGAGATGGAATTTATTTGAAGGCTTTGAGGAACCGTTTATGTGACAGATGAAAATTTGATGTGACAATATATAACTATTAAAACACTCGACGTCAACAACGCGCCCTTCCTAATAGCCCCTAACATATAAGAAATATTTTAACGATTAGGAGCTGCTTGGAAGGGCGAGTTGTTCACATGGAGTGTTTTAATGGTTAAATATTGTCATGTCGAATTGACATCCTTCACATGGACATTTCCATGAAAAACCTTCAATTGGATTACATCTCAATGATGGATGAGTTACGTTTATGATACTTGAGTGAGAATTGAGTTACGTTGTAAAGTTCGAATAGTAAGTAGTTACACAAACTAAAGTTCAGTGACCAATCATTTATTTTACCTTACACATTCTCCATAAAATTATATATTTTCACAAAATATATTCTTAGAAATCTACTTCATACTCACCCTAATTAAAATATTTCAGTTATTTATCGCTTTCTCATTGGAAGTCATAATGTTGCCTTCGAGCAGCCGACCTGTTATATTAATCAATTATTCATGAATTTGTCACATTACTTTCATTAATTAACAATACAGGGTATCCAATCATATCTCACCATACACAAACTAATACTCAGTATTGTCAACTAATGTAAGTAAATGTAATATATTGTCACCAAACTGTTAGCCAGTTTCATTACATCTTTTGTAGGTACTAACTAATACACTGTATTTGTTATGAAGAAGGCAACTGCACACATATGTTTGATTAAAAAAAAAAAAAGATAAATAAATAAATAATAAGGCAAAACAAATAAAAATAAAAGAAAAAAACAAACCTTATCCAACCTCCGATAGTCACCTCCACCCTTAAAATTAATTTCTTTTTTTTATTAGTACAAAATGCTTTGCTGTGACGGGAGCATCTTTTTTTTTTTTTTTTTTAAAACCAAAACAGACATTTATTCATAAAAAACCATCACTTAAGGCGGAGGAAAACCCTAGCTACAGCACTTCGACCAATAAACTTGACAAATAAAATTAAGCTCATATCTATATAAACAACCATCGAAAAATAGTCTATCCTCTCTGGCCAATGTACAACGCAACCATTCTATCTAAGCTAATCAAACCTCGACAAAACCTTAGTAGTTCCCTACATGACAAGAACTGTTCTGTCTTGTCCTTCGTACCTAACTTCGCCAACTCATCCGAAACACGATTAGCTTCTCTATACTGATGCACGACTTGAAAGTCAAACTTCTTTAAAAGCTCAAATAGAACTTCCCAAAAATCCCACAAGTACCGGCTGTACCGTAGTCTACATTTCCTTGCCAAAATCGAAGACACCACCAAGAATGAATCACGGTCAATATACACCTGATATAATCTCAAATCCTGACACAAGGTCAGTCCATCAATAAGCGCCCTCAATTCCGCTTCATTATTCGAGCCACATCCAAAAATAAAAATCTTGTTACGAAGGAGAATGCATTCGACCGTAAAACAAAGGTCCCACTAAAATATTTGGTCATAATTGACCACATGTAACTTTGAGTTACAATTTTTCCAACAACTTGTGATTTTTACGTACATATGATTGACAAAAGAATGTAATATGGACGCTGGAAAATTTTGGAGAATTTGGCTTTGAATAGTGTAAACGAAACTTCCACTAGCTTTCGATTAACAATTGTAAATTTGCTTATATTAAATTTAGTTTATTGCTTCCATGCACGGGATTTCAATTAACAAATGAGTAATGCTTTTAAGTTAATTAATTACGAAATCTCCCGAGAAATTTTCTCATCTGTAAGCAAACAACCCGTGATATTAATGATCTTGAAAACTCAAATTTTCTTGTTCCCAAGGTAACTTTTTCTTAAGTAAAAACTCTAATATCCCTTTTTATTTGTTTAATAAATAAATAAATAAATAAGAATGGAAAACAAATGTTAGTAAAAGAGAAAGCAAAACTCATCCAGCCTCCAATAGTAGCCATAGAATGAATTTCGTTTTCATTTTGCCTAATTTATAGTATTTTCATTTAAGCCCCTGTTTGGTCCAGATTAAAATCTGATTTTAATCTCAGTCAAAGTCAAACAATCAATATTAACCACATCTTTCATGGGCCCCACAATTTTTCAACCACACATTTCAAAAACTTCTATCATAATCTACTAAAAATTTAATTTTAATTCCCATCAAACACCCTCTAAATATTCATGAAATAGTAATTTGGCTGAAATTGGATACAAACAATAGACGGCTGAATTCAACTAACAATGATTCTAATTAAGTTACAAGAATGCCAATTATAACTAAGTGATTTTCGAGAGTTCAATTAAAGTTTGGGGACTAATTGAAAACTTTCAAAACTTGCATCTGGTTTAATATTAATAATTTTGAAATGACAAGGACTTAACATAAATATTAGAAGATGAAGAACTTGCACATGATGTGCTCTAGGTGTCTTATTGCTTTCTGATGTAGGACAACTAGCTTTGGAGTTTGAAGAAGTGTTGGACAGGAAATTGACGAAAAAAGATCGAGTCAGGGGCAATTTGGTCATTTGGCGTGACGGTGTCAGAATGGGCTGAAATTTGGCAGGTTGATTGGAAACGGCCTGAAAAATTGGACTCGGGACACCGAGATCTCGTGATTTTAGCCAAATTCCTTTGTTTAGGCCTTCAAATAATTAATTTCCATATTTTTAGTTTTAGATTTTCACTATTTTTGGAATGTTTTAATATTCTATATTTTTAGGGTTTCTTGTAACGCCTATTTAAAGGCTTTTGAACGTTTTTCGGATCATTATTGATTATTATAAAATTTCGTTTCTTGGTGGATTCCAAATTTGGTTCTTCAGATTTACGTTCGTAAATCTTCGTCTTCCGTTCTACGTCATTTTCTTACATGCAGTTGCCTCTAAAATTGCCTAAAATCCTTTTTCTCTCAAAGTTGCCTTAATCCTTTTCACATTGTCTAAACTTCTTTTGCCATTGAGATCTCAAAGTAGTCTTCAATCCTTTTTGCCTAAACTCATCTTTCAATTGAGATGGCTTATGCATCTCTACTTTCACTTGCTCAAACACTAGAACAGATCCTGCATCCTCATGATCAATCTCTAAATCTTCATCATACAGAGCAACAGATCATGAGATCTCTCCATGAAAAGGTTAACTTCTTGGTGGATTTTCTGGATGTTATTTCACCAAAAAGTAGTGAGAATATTAGTGATTTGGAAGTAAGAATCAGGGATGCAGCGTATGAAGCGGAAGATATGATTGAATCCAATATGTCGAAGAAAATTGTCTCAGAGTGGGAGCAAAAATACGTTGGTTTGCATAAGGTAATAGAAAAACTCGCTTCCATTTCAGAAGATTTGGTGACGATGATGGAAAGGAACGACATAGAAATTTTAAAACCATGGAACACTTTTCCTTCTGCTCGTTCGACTAACAAGATTGCTACTCTGGGAATTGAAGACTAGATTTGGACACTTAAGGATCGGCTGACTGGTTCGCCCTCAGGACTCAATATCTTCTCAGTTGTTGGGATGGGAGGCCTTGGCAAGACTACACTAGCAAGACAAATTTATCATGACCCGGATATTGCCTCTCACTTCGACATTCTTGCATGGGTAACAGTATCACAAAGATATTATGAACAAGAAGTACTCAGTCGCCTTCTGCATTCCGTAAGAGACCTCAATCATGAATCAAGCCAAGAAAGCCTAGAAAAATTAGCCGAGAATCTATATAAAAGTTTGAAGGACAAGAGGTACCTCATTGTCCTGGACGATGTGTGGGATGGAGAGATCCTGTTAAAAGTCAAAAGTTTGCTTCCACATGACAGTAATGGAAGCCGGATTTTGTTGACAACTCGATCACGTCATGTGGCTGAGTATGCTAATCCTGATCTCCAACCTCATTGTATGAGATTTCAATCTTCTTACGAATGCTGGAATCTGCTGCAACATTTGGTGTTTGATAAAGAAATGTTTCCTCTTGAATTGGAGGAATTAGGTAGGGTGATTGTAAGGAACTGCAGAGGACTTCCACTTTCACTTATCTTGATCGGTGGTGTCCTGTACAAAGCCGAGAGGACACAAGATTACTGGATGTATGTTGCACAACATTTAAAGAGTGAATTATTCGACAATTTATGGACCTTTGTACCTTTCTGTTACAACCAATTGCCCCATCATTTGAGAGCATGTTTTCTTTATATGGGTGTTCTACCTGAAGATTATGAGATCCGTAGATCCAAACTCATCAAGTTATGGATTGCCAATAGATTTATAAAGCCAGATAGATCGAAAAGCTTGGAGGAGGTGGCAGAGGAGTATCTAAAAGATCTTATTGATAGAAATCTGATTACGGTTCGTGAGTTGACCTATAGTGGTGAAATCAAAACCTGCTGCATCCATGATGTCTTGAGGGACTTCTGCCTGATGAAAACTAAGGAAAATTTCAATTTGGACGTTGAGAATCTTCCAGAAGTCCATGACAATCTTCGACACATTAGTAGTCTCTCAGATTTGAAGGATCAAATCCCCGAATTTGATCTTGCACACAATCGTGATTTGCGTATCCGCTCTGTTACATATTTTTTTGGCAATAGCCTGTATGATATACATTTTGTCAAGAACTTTCGGCTGCTGAGGATACTGGATGCACTCACAATATGGTTTGACGAGTTTCCCGTTGAAATAGTAGAACTGGAGACTTTGAGCTTTATTGCTCTGACCTACTGGGCAAAGCATAGGATTCCTTCGTCAATATCCAAACTTTGCAATCTGGAGACGTTAATTATTAAACTGGAGCATCCTATCGACTTTAATAGAAGACGAGATTTGGACAATTAAGAATCTGCTATGTGTTTTGCCCTCAGGATTCGAGACCATCTCAGTTTTTGGGATGGGAGGCCTTGGCAAGACTACACTAGCAAGACAAATTTATCATGACCCGGATATTGCCTCTCACTTCGACATTCTTGCATGGGTAACAGTATCACAAAGATATTATGAACAAGAAGTACTCAGTCGCCTTCCGCATTCCGTAAGAGACCTCAATCATGAATCAAGCCAAGAAAGCGTAGAAAAATTAGCCGAGAATCTATATAAAAGTTTGAAGGACAAGAGGTACCTCATTGTCCTGGACGATGTGTGGGATGTAAAGATCCTGTTAAAAGTCAAAAGTTTGCTTCCACATGACAGTAATGGAAGCCGGATTTTGTTGACAACTCGAGTACCTCCTGTCGCTTATTATGCTAATCCTGATTACGCTCATCGTATGAGATTTCAAACTCCTCACGAATGCTGGAATCTGCTGCAACATTTGGTGTTTGATAAAGAAATGTGTCCTCTTGAATTGGTGGAATTAGGTAAGGTGATTGCAAAGAACTGCAGAGGACTTCCACTTTCACTTACCTTGATCGGCGGTGTCCTGTACAAAGCCGAGAGGACACGAGATTACTGGATGTATGTTGCACGAATATTAAAGAACAGCTTTTTCAAAAATCTACGGGCCTTTGTATGTTTCAGTTACAACCAATTGCCCCATCATTTGAGAGCATGTTTTCTTTATATGGGTGTTCTCCCTGAAGATTATGAGATCCGTAGATCCAAACTCATCAAGTTATGGATTGCCAATAGATTTATAAAGCCAGATAGATCGAAAAGCTTGGAAGACGTGGCAGAGGAGTATCTAAAAGATCTTATTGATAGAAATCTGATTATGGTTCGTGAGTGGACCTGTAGTGGTGAAATCAAAACCTGCTCCATCCATGATGTCTTGAGGAAATTCTGCCAGAGGGAAACAATGGAGTATCTTCATAATTGTCTTCGAGAAGTCCATGGCAAGCTTCGACACATTAGTACTCTCTCAGATTTGAAGGATCAAATCCCCGAATTTGATCTTGCATACAATCGTGGTTTTCGTATCCGCTCTGTTACATATTTTTTTCGCAATATCCTGTATGATATACATTTTCTCAAGAGCTTTCGGCTGCTGAGGATAGTGGATGCACTCACAATATGGTTTGACGAGTTTCCCGTTGAAATAGTAGAACTGGAGACTTTGAGGTTTATTGCTTTGACCTACTGGGCAAAGCATAGGATTCCTTCCTCAATATCCAAACTTCGCAATCTGGAGACGTTAATTATTAATCCAGGGAAACTCAGATCAATCTTTAATACATCATTCCTACCACTGGAAATCTGGAAGATGTCACGATTGAGGCATATCTTGTTCGTGAGAAGTTTCTTGCCTTATCCTACCGATGCACTAAATGTGGGTACTTTTTTTCCCTTGGAAAACCTACAAACACTTGCCAATGTTATGAACTTCAGATGGACAAAGGAGGTCATTCAAATGATGCCGAACCTAAAGAAATTGGTAATTTCGTACGAGCATGATGGGCGAACTGAGTGGTCATCCTATTGTTTTGAAAATTTTGTCCATCTTCTTCAACTTGAAGTTTTGAAATGCTTCTTTTTTGGGAAGTCCTATGTAAAATTTCAGGATCCTCTTCCAGTGAACTTTACTTTCCCACGAAAACTCAAAAGGTTAACTTTGAGTGGCTGCAGAATATCTTGGAAAAGCATGACTATTGTTGGTTCCTTGTCCTATCTTGAAGTGTTGAAAATCAAATACCATGCCTTCGAAGGCCCTGTTTGGGAATGAAATGATGGGGAATTTCGTCAATTAAAATTTCTCCTCATTCACATGACTGATCTGGCGCACTGGAAAGTTGATGAAATGCACTTCCCAAGCCTTGAACGCCTTAGTCTTCAGTACTGCTACAACCTGGTGGAGATACCTTCTGGAATTGGGAAAATTCCAACACTCCAAAAAATCGAGTTGTGTGGATGTAGCACATCTGTTGTGACTTCAGCAAAGGTCATAGAAGAAGAAAAAACACGCTTGGGAAAAGACAAATCAATAGACGAACCACCACATCCCTTTTTCGCAAGAAAATCTGCCGCCATATTAGCCTCTCGGAGCACATGTTGCACCTTGACGTTAAGTACTCGGATCAGCTCCACAATTTCATCCCAAAATTCCCAAAGCCACCATAGAGTGCAAGTGCCCCTCTCAATCCACTGTACAATGATTTTGGAGTCGGTTTCAACACTTATACTCTTTATTCTTAGGTTCCTACACATGCGAAGACCATCAAGTAGTGCACGCATTTCAGCCACCATGTTGGTACACGATCCGTAGTGGCGAGAAAACCCAGCCAAGCAAACTCCCATGCTGTCCCGTAAAATACCCCCACCGCCGGCTGGACCTGGGTTACCTTTAGAAGCGCTGTCGATATTTAATTTTACCTGGTCGCCCTCTGGTTTCTTCCAGCTGATGACTCGCACCTTTGCTGTTATAGCGTCGCTAACAGGGCAGTTTAAGGAGCGCAAGCAATAAGAATCATAGTCTGATATTTTTCTGGTCCTGGAAAATAGCCCAGCAATCTGGGAAAGCCACGACTTAGTCTGCCAAACAACTTTCTGCCATGACACGGGGTGTCCCTCCATTCGAGCTTCACATCTGGTCTTCCACAGTTCCCATGTGATGATAATAGGTGTAATGCCGCAAAGGATACCGACCTGTGATGATTTGGAAACTTGTTTCCCCCATAAGTTCATCATCCCTATCCAAGTGTTATTGTGCATAGTATAATAACATAACTAGAAATCTACTTCATATAGCTATTGCTGCAGCCTTGCAGAGGCTCCTTAACTTTGCCTATCTCTATTAGTAGTTCCAATTACCAAATATGAACTTGACAAAATCATCTATAGAAAGTAAAAATAAGTAACAGAAATTTTCAATAAACTAGATTTTCAATTTGTATAATTTTCTGGGGAAAATTTAGAGTTTGTAGTCAAAATTGGGAGAATATAAAGATGTATTCTTGAAATTACAAGACTAAAGTGAATAAAAATTTCTTCAAATTAACCATTCATCTTCTTGACATTAATCGCTTATACATCTTTATGCTAATACTGTCAATGTTTGGAGCTTCCCTAGTAGGTTGTGCTGAAAGAAGAGGATACTAATATTTCTAGCTAACAAAGGGGAAAAGAAGACGAAGTTGCCATGTTATTTCTAGTGTTTCATTGAGATTCCATTGTTGTTGTGGTTACTTTTGTTGTTGTAACTTATTGACACATTTGGGTGTCAGGAGTAAGATGAACAATGGACATGTACATTACTTGTTATTGGAAATAACGAGTACTTTTTTTATACATTGTGGAATTAAACATTCAAAGTCAGATATGTTGGACATAATTGTTGATCAAAATAGCTCTCGATTGATCTTTGGTCAACCACTAAGTTACTCCAACAATCAAAGTTTAAACTCGAATCACTTGTGTTGCCTCTATTTCCTATCCCATAAAGAACTCAAATCAACAAAGAGTATTCCACGAAGGAAGGTGACAATGGCTGCAACTCACAAAGACTGAGAGCGAAGAAATGCACAATTCAACTACTCACCTTTTCACAGAGAAAAGGGAGAAAAAGCGCTGCCTTCAATTCTCTCAAATTGCATACTAAAAGTCACTGTTTTTATTCAAGAAGGGGGCAGCCCATATACAATGATTAGAGCAAGAATCAGGGCAATAATAAATAAGCCAAACAAGGCACAAAGGTCATCACCAAATGAATGGGTTGAGTTGCTAATTTTGGGTCTTATCTCGTGGTATTAATCCTCTACTTCAATCATCAATTGAAGCCTATAAAACTAAACATTAAACGATACAAATATTATAGCTCGAGAGTTATTGGATATAAGAAAACCCAACAATAATTATTGGGATGCTCTGTGCGTCGGTTCCAAAACTAGATCCATCACTGAAACAGAAAATCAAACGAAACAATATATTGGTTATGAAAAATTTGTTTTCAGATTATCAATAAAAAACACGTGTCAAATTTTTATTCATGCAACATTTTCTTGGTGGTTGGTGTTGGCGTTGATACTGGTGGTGGTTTTGTAGTTGAAAATATTGGTTTGTTGGTGGTAGGGGTAGTGGTGGTTTTGAAGTTGAAAATTGTAGTTAGTTGGAGGTAGTGCTGGTGATGGCACATGGATGGTGGCGTTGCTGGGAGGTAGTGGCGATGGCATTGGCGATAGTGCGATCGGAGGCAATGGTGAGATGAGGGTCACAAGTGTTGGTGGTGGTCACAAATTATTTGGTTGATTGTGACTAATAAATAGATAAATTGCTACCAATAAATAATATGTAACCTAAAAAATTGTTAATTTGTGACCAATAATTTGATAATTTTTTACCGTGTAACAAATTGTGACTTATAAAATTTGTAAATTATAATCGATAAATAAATTGTGACCTATAATTTTTTTGATTTGTGATCGATGAACAAATTGTGACTAATAACCGTGAAATAATTTATGACCTGTAAAAAATTTTATTCGTGACCAAAGAATGATTTGTGACCAATTAATTTGATAATTGTGTCCAAATTGCATAGAATTGTAACCTTGATATATTTAATTTGTAAAATATATTTTTAATTAATTAATATTTGATTTTTGAAATTTTAAACTTTGTATCTTAGTTTTGAAATGACTGATACTTAATCTCTTAGATTTGAAATTTTCCCTTCTCGAAAAGGTATTATGTGCCCAAATTTGAACTCAAACGTCGAATCTGTAATTTACTATTTTTCTCCTTTTTCCTCAATCCATTCGATTATCTATTCTACATCAGTCCCTTCCACCCGAGTTATAATCTGGATAGAGAGGTTCATCATCTTCATGGAATTCGTACATATCTACCACGTTATTTGTTAACTGTTACAATTATTATGCATCTTATATTTATATTTTTATGTGTTACTCATCAAGTATTATTTGACGTGATTATTTCACCAAGTGTGTTGGACATGATGATCAAAATAGCTCCCAATTGATCTTTAGTCAAGGACAAAACATGCTCAATTTGATCAACCACTAGATTACTCCAACAATTAAAGTTTAAACTCGAATTACTTGTGTTGCCTCTTATTTCCTATTCCATCAAGAACTCAAATCAACAAAAGAGTATTCCACAAAGGAAGGTGACGATGGCTGCAACTCACAAAGAATGAGAGTGAAAAAACGCACAATTAAACAACTCATGTTTTTACAGAGAAAAAGGAGAAAATGCGCTGCCTTCAATTCTCTCAAATTGCAAACTAAAAGTCACTGTTTTTATTCAAGAAGGGGGCAGCCGTATATAATGATTAGAGCAAGAATCAGTTGAAGCCTATAAAATTAAACATTAAACATACAAACATTATAGCTCAAGAGTTATTGAATATCAAAAAAACCCAACAATAATTATTGGGATGCTTCGTGTGTTGGTTCCAAAACCAGATCCGTCACTGAAACAGAAAATCAAACGCAACAATATATTGGTTATGAAAAATTGTTTTCAGATTATCAATCAAAAACAAGTGTCAAAATTTTATTCATGCAACATTTTTCTTTTTGTGTCTTCAAGCAACTGTCCTTGCCAATGGCAGGTGTGTCTCCCTAGTACTCGTATGCGGAGAAATCCCCTGTACAAGTAGCACGGTCCTAACATCATTGCCTCACAACTAATTTGAGTTTAAGAATGTTTATCGCAAATTAAAATATATTTATAAACTCACTTGGGGACATTCATTTCTTAATTACAAAGAGACCTTGCAAAGTTTTAATATACTAGAGTTTTTTTAAGGAATTTCTTATTATAATTAGGAAATTTTAATAACTTCTAAGGTGGAAAATATAATTATCGTTGTAGAAAATGAAAATTGGAAAATTTAACAAGCAATGACAATAAGTAGGCTGCTTGGCTATAGAAGCAATTTTCCCGTCAATTCGTTGGAAAATTACGTATCATTATTTTCAGTATTATGCTCTCATCCTTTCTCGAGAGATGGGTTCACAATTTTGTTTTGTTATGTTTGTCACATTACTTCCATTAATAATAAATAATCATAAGTTTGCCTTAAAAAAAAAATCACATTGAGAGCCACGAAGTGTTTTGGATCCTAACTCGGGCGAGTTCAGATTTGTTGAACGAGTTTTACCCACTCGGGCGACTTCATTACAATTAACTTGGAGGACCCTTACCGGACTTGAGAGCATATTCATCAATGCAAAAATTAGTTCTCTCAGAGAGTCAATTAAAAAGGCTAGACGAAGGTGCTTGAAACTTTCCAAGCTACAAAAATTGGACCTCTCTTCAAATTCTTTGGAAGGAACAAACACAGAAGAACACTTCTCAAACCTAGCCAAGGCTACCTAGTTTTGTACTACAATTCCCTAGCTTTGAACATGAGCTCTGATTGGACTCCTCCATTTCAATTGAATTCAATATAACTCAGATTTTGCAATGTGGCCTCATTTTCCAAATTGGCTTCAAACTCTCAAAGTTCGGTGTCGATTGAAAGGCCTTGTATAGACCCACATATTCCTAAGGAAAACTTTCTAAAATCTTTTTATCTTATATTGGACCAAAAACTAAAGGTATCTGAAATTTTCATGGAGTGGACGGACAATGCAAGATAATAAGGACTGTGTTCAAGTTAATGTGTTTGCCTTTTCCTTTAATTGCTTTGCCTTTTCCTCCTTTTTGGTTCTGGTAATGCAGGTGACAAAGAACACAATGATGACTGCAAAAAACTTCTTGGACTTGTGGATTCACCTGTAATTGAGGTGATTTAAGCACATTTCTCATTCTTGTAATTTGCCTTTGGTCACACACTTGCTAGCTATTTTTTTTTTAGATCCGTTCAGTACGTTTTTGCCTTCAGAAATGAGAAAGTTTCTTGTTAATGACAATTTTTCCTTGTTAATTTGTTCAGGTTCCTTCCGAAGCAGAAGCACAGTCTGCGACACTTTGCAAAGAGATCGATATGAGTTAGAACTGATTTTTGAAATAAAAGTGAAATTAAGTCCTCGTTTGGTTCGGATTAAAATCTGATTTTAATCAAAGTCAAAGTTAAACAATTAATATTAATCACATCTTTCATGGTCCCACAACTTTTCAACCACACATTTCAAAAACTTCTATCACAATCTACTAAAAATCTAATTTTAATCCTCACCAAACACCCTCTAATATTATTTTTTGTAACTTTGAACTGTAAATTCATGGAATGAAAATGCTTACAATTTCATATTTGTTTGTTTATTTGTGTATTTTAAATATTTTAAACTTTTTAATAGTTTTAAATTGCAGTAAAAATTTATTAACATAATTAGCGGCAAGGGCTTCGCTGTCCGATTTACCAATGAATTGGTTCCATCGTTAAAAGTTATTACCAACGAAATTCAAGCCACCCCTCATTGGGGTATTTTTGAGTCAATGTGGTTTTGGATCCATGTGGGAGTCTTTGTTAAGTGACGACCAAATTGTGCTTGTGACAAGACTTGCCGACCAAATCTTGAATACAAAATTGCTGTTGTTTTTGGTAATGAAATGTGTAAATAGAGGTGAAAATACCAAAAAATACAAGGCACAATTGTATTAAAATGTATTAGTTGGTGTATAGTGTACCTACTAAAGACAAAGAAACCAGAGTGCCATATTTGCTTTTCCGGAACATTCTTGGACTTTTTTATATGCCTCGGTCCACGTCCACCAGAGTGCTGTTGTTCCATATATGCCGCTGTCCACTTACAAAATTTAATTTCTTTGAAAATAAAAAATAAAATTGCCAGACGTATTCTACAGAATGTAATGTTGAAATAACATATTCTACAGATAATTTTAATTGGTATTATAAGACGTAATGATCTCAGCATCGCCTTTTAAAATAACAATGTAATATTCCAATTAAAACAAAATCTCCATAGCATCAATCATTTTTTCTATTTCTTCTTCGCTTTTTACCTCTCCTCTCTCTACTCTCGCTTCTGGCACTGGAAACATAGGAACTCTCTTAGGAAATTAAGAACTTACTATATTCAAGAATAGAATAGGCAACCGACTCGATAGGAGAAAATAACCATAACTTTACATAGAAAAGTCCAAACTGAGATTCACAAAGTGATTTGGAATCCTCGAAACTTTTCGATGATATATTATTTTCATTGGAAATGTTTCTTCCACGTTACCAAGATTCATTTGAACGTTGTTATTATGTATGCTTAACATCTTCAGATGAAGCCCAATGATGAGGCCCCAAATTATCAGCCCATTTGTCTATAATGAGTGTGACCCGATTTGGCCCTTTTATGTGTGCATTCTCGCGATTATGTTATGCAACTTTGGTTCTATTAAACAACCTGGCTAAGATTGTGACACGTGGTTTTGACTAAACCGTTGGATGCATGGTGACTCAGGTTTCTAGTTGATTAGAGCGAAAACCACTACGCTGGATGCTCAACGGGTGATTAGCCACTCTGTGGGTAACATCTGTGCCTAAGGGCGAAAAATTCTTGTGTTGTGTTGTTCTTGCTATTTTTGGTTATCTTTGGGACTGTTTAATTCCAACAAACGTGACCCATAATTTTGCACTTTGAAAGTCATTCGAACGTTAATGAGAGAAATTAAATTTTCTTTTTTCAATGTTGGTATACGATGACGCTTTCGTGTCATCTTGAGATTTATTTTTCTTCGTTCAAGTACAAATTATATAACACTTGTCTTCACACATAATTTACCCAATAACACGAGAAATATTCAATCCTGTTGGTCATGGAATAACTTTGAATTATAATCAATTCACACATACAACCTGGTACGAACATGGCAAACAAATTTCATGCTTAAAAGGTTAAAGAAATTATTCATTTACAGCTAATGTCTAAAAATTATCGAAGTTATAAACAACTTGACTATAATATTGTAATAATCCCTGTCGCTCCATTGGCACCGTTCAATTAAAAAACAGGAACTCCACATGATGGGCAGTTTGTTTAATTAATTATAAAACAGGTTTTATTGCTTTCTTATATGAAGTTATCTTCTTGCCTCTAAAGTCTTGCTCGTTTTACTGCCTAAAATCCTTTTTCCCTTAAAGTTGCCTTGAATCCTTTAGACATTGCCTAACCTTCTTTTTCCATTGAGATGGCTTATGCATCTCTACTTTCACTTACTCAAACACTCGAGCAGATCCTGCATCCTCATGATCAATCTCTATCTCTTCATCAAACAGATCAACAGACCATAAGATCTCTCCATGAAAAGTTTAGCCCTTTGCTATCATTTCTGGAAGATTCTTCACACAAAAATAGTGAAACAATTAGAAGTTTGGAAGAGAGAATTAGAGATGTGACATATGAAGCAGAAGTTATAATTGAATCCCATATATTGAATCAGATTCTCTTAGAATCTGGAAGTCAGGAAGTTATAACTGAATCCCATATGTCGAATCAGATCTTATTGGAATGGGAGCAGAAACACGATGGCTTGCAGAAGGTACTAGAAGAAATCCATTCTGTTTCAGAAGAGATGAGGAAGATGAAGGACAGGAACGACATAAAAGATCTGCCACCTAGGAACTCTTTGCCTGCTGGTTCTTCACAAGATGGTTCCGGTAACAAGAGTTCTATGGTGGGATTTGATGACTACTTGAAGGAAATTAAGGAATGGTTGATTAAGCCAGATTCTAAACGAGAAATCATCCCAATCGTTGGGATGGGAGGCGTTGGCAAGACCACACTAGCAAGAAACGTTTATGATGACTCGAGTATTGTCAAATACTTTGACACTCGTGCCTGGATAACAGTATCTCAAGGATATCACGTGCAAGAAATGATCGCAGGCCTTCTAAATTCCACAAAGCATCTCACACATGAACTATATCAAGAGGACATTGGAAAATTATACGACCTCCTGCACAAAAGTTTGAAGGGCAAGAGATATCTAATTGTAATGGATGATGTGTGGGATATAAAGGCCTGGGAGAAAGTCAAAAAAGTATTTCCAGATGACCATAATGGAAGCCGAATAATTTTCACTACCCGGCAATCACTTGTGGCTCAATCACTTGAGGCTGGTCAAGAAAACTCCTCTGGCCATATTCAACATCTGAAAGGTCTAGATGTCCCAAAAAGTTGGATTCTACTCCGTGAGAAGGCTTTTGGCAAAGAAAATTGTCCTCCTCAACTCAAGAAAATTGGAATCGAGATTGCAAAGAACTGCAAGGGACTCCCACTTTCTCTTGTTGTGATTGGTGGTCTCCTCTACAAAGCCGAGAGAACAGAAGAGTACTGGAAGTATGTTTCAGAAAATTTATACTCTGCAGTAAGTAAAGCTTCTCAGCAGGAGTATTCGGAGATATTATCTTTGAGTTATAACCACTTGCCCCATTATTCGAGAGCATGTTTTCTTTATATGGGTGTTCTCCCTGAAGATTATGTGATTCGTAAATCCAAACTCACCAAGTTATGGGTTGCGAATGGATTTATAAAGCCATATAAATCAAAAAGCTTGGAAGAGTTGGCAGAGGAGTATCTCAAAGATCTTATTGATAGAAATCTGATTATGGTTCGTGAGTGGAGTTATAGTGGTGAAATCAAGAGCTGCAGTATCCATGACCTCATGAGAGAACTCTGCGTGATTAAAGCTAGGGAGGAGAAGTTTCTACAAGTTTTGAAGTCGGATAATGATCATTTTCCAGAAGTCACGGATAATCTGCGTCACGTAAGTATTCAATCAGATTTCAAGTATGAAAGCACCAGATTTTCCCTTGCTCAAGATCGTGAGTCACCCATCCGTTCTGTTATATTCTTTCGTCGAAATAACCCAAATCATCTTTCATTGCACTTCATCACAAGTTTTCGGCTGCTAAAGGTATTGGACGCACTCACTATAAGGTTTGATGAGTTCCCCATTGAAATAGTAGAATTATTCAATTTGAGGTATATTGCTTTGACCTACTGGATAAAGCATAGTTTTCCTGCTTCAATATCCAAACTTTTCAATCTTGAGACCCTAATTGTTAATCCAGGGAAACTTAAAGAAGTCTTTAATACATCGTTCTTACCACTGGAAATTTGGAAAATGCCAAGATTAAGGCATCTGTTGTTCGTCCGAGCTTTCTTTCCTTATCCTACTGATGTATTAAACGGGGGAAATTTTGTTCCCTTGGAAAACCTACAAACACTTAGCAACGTGATAAATTTCAGATGGACAAAGGAGGTCCTTCAAATGCTGCCCAACCTCAAGAAATTGGTAATTTCGTACGAGCATGATGGACGAACTGAGTGGTCGTCCTACTGTTTTGACAATTTTGTCTATCTGCATCGACTTGAAATTTTAAAATGCTTCTTCTTTCCCAAATCTTATTTAAAATATCAGGATCCTCTGCCGGTGAACTTCGCTTTCCCACCACAACTAAAGAAGTTAACTTTGAGTGGCTGCAGAATATCTTGGGAAAGTATGACAATTATTGGTTCGCTTCCCAAACTTGAAGTTCTCAAACTGAAAGATCATGCCTTCGAAGGCCCTGTGTGGGAACCAATTGAAGGGGAATTTAGCCAATTGAAATTTTTACTTCTAGAGGAGACTGATCTGGAGGAATGGAATGCCAATGAAACACACTTCCCAATCCTGGAGCGTTTATATCTTAGGTACTGCTACAACCTGTTGGAGATCCCTTCTGAATTTGAAAAAATTCTAACTTTTCAAGCAATCGAGTTGTGTGAATGTTCCTCGTTCGTTGTGGCTTCAGCAAAGTCCATACAGGAAGTGCAAAAGGACATCGGGAACGATAATTTTCAGGTTTGTGTCTTTCCTCACACTCTCTCCAATCCTCCATTTTCATTTACATTTATAGATAAATTTAGTCAGTATCAATCAATAACTTAAAACAACACATTCAAAATTAGTACTTATTATTATTCACACATTTCTCTCTTACTATTCATACTTATAAACCATTTACAAATTTTTCGAACGGATGCTTAATATTTT